TGATTTACTGGATTATGATAAAATATATCTCAAAGATATATTAAATGAAAAAGTTGTTAATAGAGAATAAGGCGATGCTAGCGATTTCTAAATTTAATCAGTTTTGTTTATCAGTATATTATAAAAGTTACATAAAGCATAACTTGGAAAAGGGCATTTGTGTGTCTGTAAGAATAACTTGTTATGTAACATTCCTTCACTAAATATAGGCAGAAATTGTCCCTCAGCTTGGACCAAGTTTTGAATTTTGACCCCCTTGTGATGCTGAGTTTGACCCCCCCTGCTCCAAATCTTCATGAAATCTTGGTGGATGCAGATTAAAAGGCTGCCGCATCACACAGGAATGTGGATTAGAGTTTTTCTGTGATGTAATCCTTCAAATGCTCAGGGACATTTTCACAATCTGATAAATAAACCAGGTATTTGAAAATGATTTATTATGAGTGATAATCAACAGTAAGAATGATTTGAACTCAATCATTTTATCCAGATATTTAAACTTTTCTTTTCTTTTCTTTTCTTTTTGACATTGAAACTTGGGTAATTTTGTTTGTTATCTGAACAATGGACCATAGGTGGTCCTGATGGATGGGGTCGACAAAACTGACAAGTATCAAGCTGCCTTTGAGGATAAACTATGTTTAATCAGGAAAAATGTAAATCACTAAGTCTTGGCGGTAAATTCAATTTTTTTCTCTGTAATGCTGAATTATCTTGTGATATTTTCCATCACATCTATTTAGGGATGCACCGATATGAAAATTTCAGCCGATATCCGATATAATTATTGCTGTTATGGCCGATAACCGATATTTACCGATATTACACAAACACACAAATTATATTACTGTACACATACACACAAACACACCTGGGTCTTTTTTGATATCGTAAATAAACAACCAGACCTCTGACATGGCTCTCTACTTTAGTTATTTCCGGACCACGCAGCATCAGTATCACTATCATGATCAAAAAGATGCTGATCAACCAATCATCTCCCCTCCCAAAACAGAAACACAAAGCTAAAAAGTGGGAAATAAATATCGGACGTTAATATCGGCCCATTTTAACATATCAACCCGATACAGATATTCTAAAATAATATGACCAATACTGGCAATATTAATGCAGATAAATCATGCATCCCTACTTCTATTTTCATTGCACTTTCTTGAAGTTTTTCTCTATTGAAGGTCACAAACGTACTGTTTTTCTGAGTTATTTAAGCTTTAAATCATCATATTCTTGCAAACGTCACATTTAATTTAGTCAGTACTAAAACAAAAGATTGTAAATAGCAAAAAGTTTCTTTGTTTTTCAGGTGCCTGCTTATGATCGATGWCACGTCTTCTAAAATACAGAACCTGTTTGTTTACAATTAAGCTTCAATAATCGTGGCTGAATGAAGTGGTGGAAAGTGATGAAAATGTGACTTTTGGCACATTGCATGTCCAGCAGACACTGAGTGAGGGACGGGGGACACTSTGGACAGGTCTCCAGTGCATCACAGGGATGCCTAGAGGCAAACAACCTTTCACACTCTGACCCACACCTTGGCACAGTTTATGGGAACACAACCTAAAATGCAGGATTTTGGTCTGTGGGAGGAAACCWGACCTATGTGCACGGGGGAGCAACGTGCACACACGAGCCGGCCGCCTCCCAGTGAGAGGGTCGCCGGCTCGTGCACACATGAGCCGGCGACCCTCTCACTGAGAGGCGGCAGCTGCTGCTCCACCCAGCGTGAAACCACGAGGCGCAGTCGTGCTGTGAAGTGTTAACTCCAACAGTGGCAAAGTGCACAAACACTCGGTCATCACAGTCACTGTTAGTGTCGAGAGACGTTTCAGTTCCGTACCCCAGGACCGGCTCGGACCTGGGCTCTTTCTGTGTGGAGTTTGCATGTTCTCCTCGTGCTGGCGTGGGTTTTCTCTGAGTACTCTGGTTTCCTCCCACAGACCAAAAATACGATGTTTCTCTTTATCACGACACGATTTTGATTCARTTCAGTTCACAAGTCTGAGATCGATACGATGTGATGTTATTAGCCCATCTTTGTTAGATGAGCTAATGATGATAWGAATCAATGTTTTGGTTTTGCCTCRATGTAACTGAATCAKCAATCATTTAATCGACTCAGTGTATCAGTGTGGAATGATGCATTAACACTAATGCAGAGAGCTGGGGGAACTGAAAGAAGCACAGCAAGCTAACAGTAGCTAAAAGTAAAAGATAATCAGACAGACTGAGCAACGCTGAGCATGACTATCTAAAAACCAAAGTTTGCAGAAGTGGTTTGACTGCAAAAACATGCAGAAAAATGTCAAATAGCAAAAACAATAAACATTGTTACAATACTGCTAAAATGCTAATTAAAAGCAAAGTTTTTTCTGCACACAAGTGGAAACCAAGCAAAAGGTAAAGTCTCACGCTCGTCCCACTCTCCACTTAAAATAAAACAGCTCCTGTCTCAGACTGGAGTTTTTCTTCTCTTTCCCTCTGATTTTCTTTCTTCCCTCCAGGTCATGTCAGCCTCAGCAGGTGTTGCTGAACGTAACTCGAACCTGTTCAGACCTGGAGCCGAAGCAGGTTTCTCACCAAACTGTCATCAGACCCACGACTCATGTTTTCAGCTTCATTCTCCTCCAAACGACCGTCTGCTCGAGTCAAACATTATCTTTAACRGGTGCTTTTTAATGCACAGTGATCTTGCAGTAATCGTCAACTAAAACTGTTAAATTAGCGTACAATGCTAGCACAGCAGTATGCAAATGAAATGTTGTGGCGATGTAGAAATACTTTAAAATCCACCACATAAAGTTTACTTTGTAAACCTTTTTTTATCAACACATCTTGAAGCAAAAACTTAAATAGTTCATTATTATTAAAAGCATTGTTTTAGTATTATTAACTCAGTCATTTTGTGCAGAAATCAGAAATTCATGCACGTCTGTGTCATGTCGTATTAGCTGCARAAACGCGCACCAAGACCCCGAGCTCTGAGGGGAAGTGGTGTGAAAGTGGAACTTGGTCTGCACTTGTTCTCATTTCGAGGCTCAGACTCAAAGTTGTTATCGGCTCGATCGGAGCCATGGAGAGCTTTCTGAACTTTGTTGTGCAGAACGAGCGCCGGGGCTAGCTGCGTGCACAGGCCTCCACACGCCCACGCCGCTGTTTATCAGCACTTTTCCCACTGAGCTGATCGGCGCTCCGAGTCCCTCTGCCAACAGGCTCGTTTTCTGTTGGCTCTAATCCAGCTGCTCGTCTTCCCCAAGTACTTTTTATGTTTTTCCTCTATCAAACACTGCATAGATTTTATTAAACTTCCAGGAAGTAATCGTTGAATGTCCATCTACATCTTTACAACCCAACCCAAAACGGCTGTAACTCAGTTTATTTTACAGCAGAGCGCCAAAACTCCAAACTTGGTCCAAGCCAGGGGCCAGTCTCTGGGATTAGGTTAAATTATTCCTATAGAAATACAAATTACCCTCTCCAAATTTTATATTATGTTTGATAGTATTCATATTGTGTTGTTATGGCTGAGCACTGCTAACAAATAATAATTGAGCTCTACATGGTATTTCCTGCATAGAAACATTGTTTTAACACATACTCTAAAACACACTCAAAAGTACTACGAGTATGACTGACTAAATGTGAAATAAATACTAGAAATACTATTAACAGTAAAAGTAAGAGTTTTAATCACTGTTGAGTAGGATTGGGCATTATCATATCGTGTGCAATTAATCGTCAGAAAAACAATCAATTATGTTTTGGCACTTGACAATTAATACAATTAATGCCACCAGGCAGACTGACTGGAGGTCGTTCCGCTCGGTGCTCCTCTCCACTTCAAATACGACAAACATTTTTTAAAAAGTTCTGTAATTTTTTTAAACATAACTCCGTTTTTACTTGGTCAATCAACACAATTTAAAAAAATTGATGTATAGCCTGAAGTCTGTACTTTTGACACAATTTGGAACTGATTTTTTGTATGAAGAGCAAATCTTTCCCACTAGAGTGATTTAAATTGGTCATGTGACTAGGATATAAGGGTGTCCAGGCAGGGACTCGTCAAATTAATCGTCATCGGCTAAATACCACAATTAATCGTGATTATTTTTTTTGCCCATGTTGCCCAACCCTACTGTTGAGTTGTGGTGAGTAGCTGCCACCTTGAATTCTGAACTCTCCCACTTTCTGACTGGGAATTCCCACTAGAAGGGCATTCTAGTTTAAATTTACAACCAGTACAGCTGAGCTGCAGTAAAGGGAATGAAGATGCKGTGTGATGCTGGCTACCAGCTACTTCTGAACCCRGTGCRTCTCAACCAYAGTGGTGGTGTGYCGTCATTTTGCTGGTAAAATAATCAACCTGAATTATGAGAGATGTAGTTCATGGTCACTGCTGGTTTTAAAGCCACATACTCTAATTTTAAAACATTAATACATCTTTGAATCTCTCATAAGCCACATGAAATGCTGTGGTGGGCCACATTTGGCCTGCAGGCATTGAGTTTGACACACGATTTAAAAGATAACCTAACGGATAAAAAAAATTACATTTAGAAAGACACATCTTACCACAATCCAGCAAATCCATTAATTAAACAAAAAGAAAAATCTCACAAAAAAATCAAATTATTTGACTTTAAAACAAGAAGGGAGCACAAAAAACAAGATTACWTTTTTAAAGTTATCCAACTGCACTGAACACAGCAACAAAAAGAGAAAACGATTTATTACCTTTTGGGTCAGATAAAATGTTAACTTGACAGGTTTGGCCCGCGGGCCTTGAGTTTGACCTTTGTGCTTTAGAGATATGGAGGTGAAATTTGATGTGGTAGTAGCCAAGAGTCATTCACAGCACATATTCTGAGGGTGTCTTACAACAGTGCATGAGATTAAACATATTAAACATGAACGTTTGTTTTCAAGGCTTGATCCAAACGGCTCCAACATTAAAGGACCTTAACTCTGGCGGGCGATATGCATTCCTTTCAAGAATGCTGGGTCTTTAATCTCAGCTTAGATTTCCCTGGCCCTGCAGTCTTCATGGCTCAGTGGACCCGGGCAGAAGAAGGGGCTTTTAAGACTTTAGAGTTAAGGAACAGAAAGCAGGTTAAAAGAGCGCCGTCGCATTTTCTGCATAAATTTACATTTAAACCCAGAGAACGTCTGCATTCTCTTATAACTCTGTTTAAATGTAAGTTACAGACTTCCTTCTTTGTGATAAAGCATTAAATGTTCTGCTTTTTTAAAACAGTTTTGTACTTCCAGGCAGCGGTGCACCTATTTCTGATCAGATCTTATTTTTCTATCTCAAAAAACAAAAACAAACAAAAAAAAAAGCCCGAAGACTTACAGCAGCATGCATATCAAACACTATCTCCYTCTTAAAGTAATTGGATTAATTATTTTTTGTTATTTGTTGTCCTACTTCTGTGCTAAATATACACTCAGACAGTAGGTTTTATGAGTGCACTATGCCCTTTCTTGTTGAGCGGAGACAGAAACACAACAAACAAGGAGTGTGAGGAGTAATCACTCGGGGCTGGGCGAGCCGCCCCCGTCTGAGTGAAACTATCTGAGCTGGCCCACAGAGGAAGTCTCACTGTGGACAGCTTCTGGTGACTGACACACAGGATGTGAGCAGGTGGCTGAAGAAAAAAAAATAGAAAAACTCTTCAAACAAAGAGAAAAGCTCTTTGTAAAGCACACAGAGTGCTTGTCTTTGTTTTTATTTTCCATCTCAACCTTTCTCTTTTTTTTCTTTTTTTTTGCTGCATCAGTTTTTTTCCAGGAAGGGTGTAATGAACAGAAATAGATCTTTTGGTTTAAGCGTATGCTGATGATGACCCAAGTTTCCACTCTGTGGTTGAAAGCAGGAAGTGGAGCATCTCCGTCTGCCAGGCAGCGTCCACCTTCAAAAAAAAAAAAAAAAAAAAAGACCCTCTTCCTCTGCCATGCTTTATATCCGACTCATCAAAACGCCGCTGCCCACCTGCCCGACCTGTCAGACCTGCTCTGTCGTGTTTCGGTCCATGCCCTCACATTCTTTCACCGTGATGTGAAGACAAAGGAATGACAAATATGCAGAAAAACCTCTGCGTGTTCTGAATCCTGATACCAAAAAGTCTGGAGCAGATAACTCCTCAAGAGGAGTTTATAACCCCATTCATTATTTACAATAGTTGTTTTTTTAGCACAAAATATAATATGGTTAGGTTATAAACATTTCCTTTTATTCGCTCATGATTGAGAAGGTATTTGTGTGTGTCTGTTAGCAAAATATCTTATGATTTCCTGGACGGATTGTCATGAAACTCACAGGAAGCTATCATTGGATTCATGTCTACAAATGATTAAGTTTTGGACCCGACCCAATTCAAGATGGACACCACGGCTAATCAACTTTTACAAACACAAAAGGGTTCAAAACTAAGTCAGTTTTACAGATACTGAGCTAAAATTTGTTGTGTTAGTAGCTAGGGTTGTGCATATTCGTATCGCGTGCAATTAATCATCAGAAAAACATTAATCGATTATTTTTTGGCACTTGACGATTAATACGATTAATGCCACCAGGCGGACTGACTGGATATTTCCACGGTCAGTCCGCTCGGTGCTCCGCTCCGCTTCAAATATGACAAACATAAAAAAAATAAATTCTGAAATTTATTTATCTATCAGCACAGTTAAAAATTTGATGTATAGCTCGAAGTCTGTAATTTTGACAATTTGGAACAGATTTTTTTTGAAGAGCAAATTTTTCCCACTAAATTGGTCATGTGACCAGGACATAAGGGTGTCCAGGGACTTCAGGGGATTAATCGTCAAATTAATCGTTATCGGCTAAACACCACAATTAATCGTGATTAATTTTTTTGCCAATATTGCCCAGCCCTAGTAGTAGCTGAGAGTTCCACACAACACTTACTCAGAGCACGTTGTGTCTGTTTGTGTTGTCACAGATGGACCTGGAGCCAGAAGGCAAAGTGTTCGTCATCATCACTCTCACCGGATCCTTCACTGACGGTATGACTTCTTTTTGCTCTTTAAAGCTGTTTTAATCACCTCGCTGCTGCTGCTGACCTTTCAGAGAAACCGTATCGACCTGATCCTTCCCACCAACTTCAACTTCCTCTCCTGAGCACTTTGTAACTTTGTCTAAAACTTGAACTTGTGTGTGGTTGTTAATTGTATTTATTAAAAGTTTTGTTTGTTTGTTTTTGTTTTGTTTTTGTTAGGTGTGCTTCATCAAGCAAACTTGTTTTACTGAATGAAAGCTTCCATGTGTTCAATAACTATGTAAATAATCTGGGAGGAAGTTGACTCGCTGGTCTGCTAAAAGAGAAGTCGGGGAGACCAGCCGCTGTCTGATAATCAGTTGCACCGTTTTTTCTGAGTTATTATTTTGAGCTTATCGGACATTCTTCCTGTAATTTGCTTTTTATCTTATTTGGACTCAACACGTCCACTTGAACGTTTAACTAAACTGTGGCACATTGAGTCGCGGTGTATAGGTTCAGTACAGCAGAGAAAATAAACAAATGCAGAATACCTTTTTTTGTTTTAAACAAGACAATATTCTCCTGCAGGCAATCAAACGGTAAAGAAGACAATAAATTTATTGTTTTTACATAAAAGAAAAACATGTAAAGGAAAATGAAGGGTTGTCTAGAAGCTTCACTTACAAAACGTGTTAGTATGATAAGAAAAATAAAGAACTTTTAATGTACCGTCCCAAAATTTGACTGCGCGTGTAASTAATGAAAGCAGCTGAGTCGCATCACAGAAGTAGGCGTTGCCGTAGAACGGTTCGATTAATRTAATTTTAGTGCACATATTAGAGAAGTAAGCTCTTGGAAACTATTTTTAGACAAATGTTTGAAGCACATTTTTGCATTGTTTTCAGAGAAACGCTTACTGTACAGTGTAGGAAACTTCATGCTCGAGTTAACACCCTCCCACCACCGCCCCTCCTRCAGCGTGGGCTCGAAGGTTTCCATAATGCATCTGTGGTTTGAAGCGCTCATGTAGCGCCGCTGACACCGAGTGCAGAAAAACCCAGCTGGTGTTTGTGTAACACAAACCTGCTTCATGTCAAACAATATTTACACTTTGTGTCTTTGATTTGACCGGTTTTTCTCCTGCTCTGTGTTCTGGATCAGGTATGACGGAGAACGTGTGTGTGTGAACGAGAGAGAAGTTTCAGGAGGGATTTGTGACAAACGGGTGGCAGCAAAGGTCAAAGGAAAAGTTTAGTGGTGAGACTGGCTGTGTTGCATGGTTTGGAGATGGAGACATGGACAAAAAGACAGGAGACAGAACCGCAAGTGGCAGAGCTGAAGATGTCGAGGTTCTCCTTGGGAGAGACAAGAATGGACGAGATTAGGATTGAGGTGATCAGAGGTACAGTTAGAGAGGACAAACTGAGACAGTTTGRGTGTAAAGAAATTTAGACGTGCCTGTTTACTTCATTCCGTGTTACCGGATCGAAAGTACACCAATGTTTGAATGTTTAAAATGTGAGGAAAAGGATCGTACAACCGCACAGCTCTACTGAACCACTTTAACGCTCTCTCTGTGCATTCAGCAAAGAATCCAGGAAGTATTGTTGCTTATAACTTCTTCAGAATCCTCTCAAAATACTTCCTTTCCAGCAAGTGTTTCTTTTACATTCAGTAACTATGTGTCAAATATGTGTTCAGGCATGTAGCTACTTATACACTTCCTGCTCTGAGTGACCATATCGTCTCGCCATCTAGACCAGTCCGTACAKAAAATCATCATTTTMATCACAGAAATAATCACACAATAGTTTATAACACAGCATGTTATACAACATGTTTCACCTAAGAAAAAAACTTCAGTATGTGTGGAGCTTTTAAAAATCAGTAAGTAAACAAACCCCAATAAATTTCTTCAGTGGGTTTMATTGTAGAAAAATGTAGCTGCCAGATGAAGAAGRCATGGACGTAGTTGGAGTGAGGACAGAGTCAGATGGAGGAGGACTACTCGCTGTCCAAATATTCACTATTATTAACTGTCTTAAATCAGTTGATGAGAAACAACAGAATATAAAAATGCAATTTTGATTCTGACATCAAAGGGGACTTATATGGAAGAGCATTGTATTCACCAAAAAATAAAAAAATAAAATTGACTCCAGATCTCATAATTACGAGAAAGGTTAAGGAGAATCATACTATAGCTGACCTACATTACGGGAAAAGTGAACAATGTCTGCACTATCAGATTTGATATGCTTTTATTTCTCAGGTATGAGATGCTGGGAAATATTGAGTTTATTTAATGTGGATGGTGTGGTGTCTGCCGGTTTGTTAATAAATCCACCTGCACACCAGCTTCGTCACAAACATAACACTGACGCTCCTATACTTCCACAACCGGTAGTGGTACTTCCGGTTTCAGTAACTGGGTATTTCAAAATAAGAGTCCCATTCAATACAGTCAGAACAAAACAGTACAGATGGCATTAATATTAGTATGTCAACATTACGCAGGTATCTTAGGTCCTTTTGGTTGTTTGGGTGAAAAGCCCACTCTGACCTGCTGGAAGTTGTTCTCTTCCTGCAGGAGTAAATAAACCAGTACGAGATGCTTCATGACTATAATGCATCTGAAATGCTTCCAGGCTGGCTTGGTGGTGTCCCAAAGAACTGTCCGGTGTTATATTATGTCCTGGATGTACACAAAGAGCACACACATGGTTCTATTGGAACCCTGTAGGTCATAACTTCATTAAACTCTGGTAGTTAAACTGTTTACAGCTCTGTGTGAGTTCAGCATCACAAACATACATGTCCGGGTGGAACATAAACTCAAAACAATAGTTCCATTTGTTGCATCCTGTGCCTGCTCAAAAGTGCCTCATTTGCATTTAAAGAGACAGCACCGAAACGAGTCGCTCTCAGACACACCTTCGAAGAGTGGTGAAAGAGTGGCTGGTGGAGCTACAATAATTAGGAATTCAGACCAAAGCATTGCAGTTCCACTTTAAATAGACCACAACTGAATGATTTCATTGTGAAAAAGAAGGATTTGAAAACATATGTTCCCTTTAAAAATCAATGGTTTTATTGGTAAACCATATATTTTAACCATGAATGTCGCTCATTTACACCAAGCACAAATGTAAGCTGTTAAATAAACTAGGGGTGTGTGATGCTGGGAATTTTGGTATCCATCCTATACCAGGTAAATATAGTGTAAAGATCACTGATACTTTTAACTTGAAATAACGTATTCATGAATAATTTTTGGGATTTTAACTTGAGTTAGTCAATTGTGATAAAACACAGGACAAAGATTTTAGGAAAATAAAAAACTTTTGTGTTAACCAACTACAACAATATAAAAGAAATTAAAGGTAAAAAAATAAAATAATTCCTCTAATATCTTCTACAACACAGTTGTTTAAGACAAAAGACCCTCGTGCAAAATAATATTGAAATACTATTGATCTAAGCAAAGCTGGTATGTTGGATGATAAATGGAGGTGGTCAGATTCACCTAAAAATACCAAAAAAAAAAAAAACCATCTGAAGCCACTTAACAGTGATTAAATCTAAATTTCAGACTAACAGCGACTCTTTCTCTCCGTTGTTTATTGGACAGTTGATGAACTTTTCCTCCTGTCTCGTTGCCAGACGACGCCATAGCGAAAGAGAACAACCACAAGCAGTTCACCCGGACGCGTCAGGGCGCCCTGAGACGGAAGATCCATCAGGTCAACGGACACAAGTTCATGTCCACGTTCCTCCGTCAGCCCACCTTCTGTTTCCACTGCAAGGAGTTCATTTGGTGAGAAAGTCCAACCAGTGAGACACCTGACCGAACCTGTGTCCATGGATAAAATCTGATGGTTTTTATTTAATCTCTGTCGCAGGGGGGTGTTTGGAAAACAGGGTTATCAGTGTCAAGGTGAGCAATCTTTTTGTTTTCATCACAATCTAACCGTACAAACACAAGGTAGAAGGTGTAACWATAAGTTTTCTTGTTGGTTGTGTTTTCAGTGTGTACCTGTGTAGTTCATAAACGATGCCATCAGCTGATTGTTACTGTGTGTCCGCGCATGAAGAAGCCACCAAAAGAGCAGGTAGCTACAGCTAACGCCATTAAAACTGCATTTCAAAAACATTTTTCATGTTCTTGTCATCAGTTAATGAAATAATAATGAAACTTAAAACAAATCTGCATCTGTGGCCGAAGTTCAGTGAGAACGCTGAGTTCTAAATGGCTTTGCTAGAGAAGGTGAAACTGAGTTATTAAAGCTAAAAGAAGCAGAGCACAAGCTAAAGGACAAAAGTAGCAAAATACTAACAAACAGCTAAAGAAGAAGAACAACAATAGCTAAAAGCTCAAATGAGCAGAACACTAACTTATAAGTCAAAGAAGCAAAATGTAAGCTAAAATCCARAAGTAGCTAAATGTTTGCTAAGAGAAGCAGAACACTAACTAAAAGATTAAACAACAAAATGCAGTCTTTCTAAAAGTAGATAAAGTCTAGACAAAAGCTAAAGGAAGCAGAACACTAGCTAAAATAAATAAATTGCCAGCGATACAGCTAAAGGCTAACTAAATGTGACAAGGTGGTGGCTAAAAACCAAAAGTGTTGAAATGCTAGCTAAAAGTAGAAAGAGATGCTATCAGCTATAAGTTGCTATGGTTGGCAAAGCACTAAAAACATTTACTAAAACCTAAAAGTAGTGAAAATCTAAAAGATTTTTAACAAAAAGATAAAAGTAGAAGACAAACATAGTTTAAGTTCGCTAAAGCAGATTTCAAATGGAACAATGTATTTTTAAAAATCAAAAAGACCTCAATGTACATGCAAAATATTTGTAAATAAAGTAAAAAAAACTTGAAAAGTCTAAAAGTTTTAAATCATATCACCATCTCCTGAATGTGATGAGCTTTGGTTTAAGGCTAATACAGCGTAAACTGTGCAGAAGTGTTTAATGTACAGAAACAAAAATAAAAACAGGAAATAAATATTTTTAGTGCAGAATTAACCTTCGGACAACAAAATATACAACTGAATGTTTTAGGCTTCTGATTTTCTTGTTATCTTTGCTACTTTTAGCAGTTTTTTTATTTTATTTTATCAATTCAGGGTGTGCAGAAATAACCCACCTCCCTCCTACACACACACACACACAATCTGGTACAGCTATCTTTATGGGAACCTGGCATTGACTTCCATTACTTTCTACAGCTTGACCACCAACCCTAACCCTAACCTCACAGGTACCGACCTGACCCTAAAACTAACCTAAACTCAATTTACACATTAGTCCTAAACCAAACCCCTGACCCACCTATGATATTTCCCCCACTGTGGACTGGGATTTTGTCCCATAAGGAACWGTGGGTCCTCACCAGGCTGTGTGTACTGGGAAAAGGGTCAAAAATTGTCCCCACCAGGTAGCAAAAAACATGTACACACGTGCACATTCATAATGAACACCTGCAGTGATCAGTCTGCTGATTACTGCAGACTTCCTGTTTCTGGGTGAGTCGACCATAACTGTCCCACATGTGTGTTTCGTGTTCAGCTCTTTATAAATACATCTATTTCTACTTGGTTTGCATTTACAGTTTTGCTCCGTTTCATTTTATTTTTATTTTTTATTTTGCTGAACAACACAAGTTCCTCTTCCTCTGGAAAGTTCTGAGCAAACTTCACAATCAACAAAAATAAAGTAATCAGCGACACTGTTGAATATTGGTTTGTTTACATCATCGTATGTCGTCTCTTTCAGCCCGTAACTCAAGGCTTTAGCATCAACATTCCTCACAAGTTCAACATCCACAACTACAAGTCGCCCACCTTCTGTGACCACTGCGGGTCGCTGCTGTGGGGGATTGTCCGACAGGGGCTGCACTGCAAAAGTAAAGATGYTGTCAAAACTTCGGTCTTAAAATTCAGATCTTTGGTGAATCTGTTACTGAGCGTTTGTCTTTTGTTGCTTGTTTAGTTTGTAAAATGAACGTTCACATCCGCTGTAAAGGCAACGTTGCTCCCAACTGCGGCGTCAACAGTGTGGAACTGGCCAACAAGCTCGCAGAGATGGGTCTGCAGGCTGGAGGACTTTCCAAAAGAAACACAATTGTACGAAAGCTTCTGTTTTCTCAAAATGAGCGAAACAAGCATAAACATGATTTTGTAAGTTCATGAAATTATTATATTTTTTGGTCACTTTAGGTCAAAAGTTCCGAGCAGAGGAGGATTTCCTCTGAGAGGATGGAGAACACGAGTTCAGAAACTCAGCAGCAGAGCCTCCGGCTGGGAATTTCAGACTTCACGTTCCTGCAAGTGCTCGGAAAAGGCAGCTTTGGGAAGGTAGGAAGGAAAACAGGGAATTCTCTGTAATGATTATAGTTCTGGAAGAAAAGTAGAACAGTACTGATGGAGGATATTTTAAAACCACTCTAGTTTTCAGAAACCTGATTTATGTAAATATGACACGACACAGTAAGATATAACATTTACCAGAATTTATGTAAGCTTCCTAAAATAATGTGCATTATGTCCAGCTGCAGATATCCAAATGTATAAATGCAGAAGAGGAAAAARGTAAACTCTAAACGTTCACTGAAGTCAAGAACAGCTTTAGAAATTCAGTGTCCGTCAGTCACAAATATCTGCACAAAGCTACATAAAATCATGGATCCCATCAGATGTGTGTTGCATCATTTTAATCCAGTTTTGCTTAAGYTAAAACACTTCAGATAATTGTTGTCCAACTGTCATCAAATGATGTTTTTATTAGTAGCGGAACAGGTCTGCTAATCTGCTACTAGCGGTACTAGCTTGTCGTGTAGTGGATTAAGTTTTTTTTGCTAACTTTGGAAACCTTTAGCGGACTGATTAGCATTCACTAAATTAGGTTTTGCTAATATTGAGTCCACTAAAACAATTCACAAGTATAAAACCTATTTTTGTGCCATTAATCCTGAATTAAATCAAAAACTATCCCCTCTTACAAGCAGTGCTGGACGTGTCAGGGTTCTTGTGTGTAGCATGTAGCATCTTTAGCAGCTAAACTAAGAGTGTCAAAAAGAAATAAAATAACATTAAGCAATATTTAAATAATGGACACAAAAACTGACTACATATAAAATAAAACTATTTGTTGTTTGACTAACTTCAAACAGTACTTATACAAATTCAAACTCAATCAAAGAAATGCTTTTATTCTAAAAGGGGTAAACTGGAAGTTTCTGCTAATTGTTTACTTGTTTAGCGTTAGCAGAGCTAAAATTCTTGTTTAGCGAATTAGTAGTTATTGAACCTAACTTTCTGATTAGCTGTGGCCGTCACTGGTTTTTACTAATTAAAGCCAAATCCGTGTGTGATGCTGTGTCTGYAGGTGATGCTGGCGAAACTAAACGACAAAGACAGCGTTTTTGCCATCAAGGTTTTGAAGAAGGACATCATCTTGCAGGACGATGATGTTGAGTGCACCATGACAGAGAAGCGAGTGCTGTCTTTGGCCCGCTGTCATCCCTACCTCACGCAACTGTACTGCTGTTTCCAGACACCGGTCAGTTAAACACACAAACACAACCGTAGGTCAGCCTTCGCACCTTCTGCTCCGGMTTTAAACAGTATATTCATCCAGCTGTCCGTGGGGTTCTGCTTACTTTACTAAGCTTTGATGCTACTTTTGGTCATATCTTGATGCTGATCAAGAGCCAAGCTGTTAAAATGTTGTGAAGTAGAAACACAGTGAACTCCAGGCAGGTCGTGGACGTAAACAACAGATCACACTTCCTTATTTTATTAGGTTGTTAAAGAACTGTTTACAACATAAAGGCTTAGCCTTCATGCATACCTCCTGTCGCTTTTTATGCCAGAGATTGAAAATAAAATCATCTTATGCTGAGAAGTGATGGTTGAAATTATTAAATATAATATATAATAATATAATATTAAAAATGCACTCACTCTTTCAGCTTCTACAACATCAAACTTCAGCTCAAATCTGTAAATTTGTTTGAGTTGTACTAATTTCTTGCATTGACTAATGTTGATTGCTAGTTATGGCGGGTCATCTTAAACTGGGTGGTTTATGAGATATTTTGCTATCAGACAATCAGGGTGGAAGCCAAAGTTTTAAGCATTAATGTTGTGTGTGTTTTAAATTACTTTCAGCTATTACCAAACCAAATTTTAACTAAATATCTGTAAAACGGACAAAGTTATAGTCATTTCTGTGTTTTCAAGAATTAGTTGGTGACCATTTTGACTTGAGGTGACTCCAGATGTTTTAATGAGTTGTAGATGTTCATCTGGGAGGAGGAGAYCCTGARGAAGACCCAGGACATGCTGGAGAGACTATGTCTCTCGGCTGGCCTGAACATTTGCACCTTTTTGCCTTTTGCGGCATGCTATAATAATTCATGGATGTCTCACTTCTGCAAACGACTGATAAATACAGAAAGAAGCTTGTTTATTACCTCAATAGATTTTGTTCTGGAAAAAAAATATATATATTTAGGAACATTTCCAAAAGATGTTCAAACTCTTGTTTTGTGCAACAACCATTTAATACTTGTCAGTGCTCATAAATTCAAAGATACTTTACATAAAACTGCTAAATAGTTTCATTAATAATAAAATAAAGACTGCAGCTGAGTGGTAAAGCTCTCATTGTACAGAATTTTTCAGGTTGTAGTTCGTCAGCTGACCAGCAGGTGGCAGCAGTTTCCCAGTCTGCATCTAACAACTAAAATAGCGACCTGTCCTAAAGAGGACACCTGTAATCTGCTTTAACTCTTTAAATCATGACCCTTTTAAGGAAAGAGTCATGTCATGTGACGTCATGGCACTTGTCACCAACTCAAACCTGCAAACACAATTATGGAATATATTTTCTATTTCCTTGCTGAATTTGTTTTTAAACTCTCGTCTCAGCGACTGTTTCCTGATGAGCGCTGCAAATGACGCACAATTTTCTTGTGAAGGCTCGTCATGTATTTGAAGTGTAAAATTATCTGTGGTTTTATGTGTCAGAGTTACATCTGTATGTTTGTTGTTATGAAAAGAGGAGTAGGGGAAATGTGTGTGTGGGTGGGGGGGGTTGTTTTGTCTGCGGTGTGTTTGGGGCAGGTACTGTTTTCCTTCACTCAGTTCTTTCTCAGGGGTTTTGTCTTTTTAACATAGCAGCTTGTATTCTTGCACAGTTGTTTTTTCTATCATGTTTCTGGATGTTTGTAGAAAAAAAAAGCCAATAAACATAAAAAAATCTAATTTGCAGGTGCTTTTAGAAAAGTTTTTTGTAAAATTCAGTTAGTTTTCTAAAAGATCCCAAATACCCTGCAGAGACTAAACAAATTTCCTTCCATTAGTGTTTTGTTGTTATTCTGTGAGCAGAAAGGGTTTTGTAACTTTTTTTTTCTGCATTTCGACAAAATCAGTCTGTCTGTTCGTGTCCTCTGACTGTACTGATAATTATGACTCAGATTAAAAATGGCGACCAGCTCTTTCCAGGCAGGTGGACCAAGCCAAATTCTGAAACTTCTCTCCAAATGTACGGTGTTCAAATTTTGCGGCTATCCTGTTCCTGTCTCAAGTTGGGACTAAAATTGTTGTTTTTTAAGTAGAGCTCTCTTCAGTCAGCTGGTGAGAAGTGTAAAAGATCAGATAAGGATTTTAATTTTAGTCATAAAGCTTGTCAAATGTTGTGTTTTTTTTATCTGTCGGTCTGTTTCAGTCTGAGGTGATCCAGTGTTTTCTTGTTTTTGTTTGTTTTTAGCCTTTTTGTTTAATTTGTTGGTTATCGTGTGTGATGCTGTATTATTTATTCTACTGCCAGCTTTTCCTGTCAAGCACTTCAGCCAATAAAACCATTCCTGACATTTGTCATCCCTTGATTCATACTTCAGGATCGTCTCTTCTTCGTGATGGAGTTTGTTAACGGCGGTGATCTCATGTTCCACATCCAGAAGTCACGGAAATTTGAAGAGGCCCGAGCTCGTTTCTACACGGCAGAGATCACGTCTGCGCTTACGTTTCTGCACAGCAAAGGCATCATTTACAGGTTTGAACCAATCTCACATTCAGCAGCAGCTGAACAAACATTTGAGCGTAAATTCTTTGGAACATAAGCAGCTCGTGTTCTCATTTGGGCTCAAGGCGCCCTCTAGCCATGGGAACTGAAAAACGTTGCATCAGGTTCAAAGGAGTGAGTGATGAGAACAAAAACCACTGATATTTCAGTGATTGTGGGAAGAACAACACAACCTGTAATAAGATGTTGGTTTCTGCACCTCAGGATGACATATTAAAAAAACACCATGGAAAGTATCAGAATCACTGGTGAGATGTTTGTTTTTTCACATAAAAGCTCTTGAAAAATACCAGGTTTTGCTTCGATTGCTTTTAAATATGATTTGATCTTTGAGGAATGGATTGTRTGGCACCCCTACCTGTAAATACAGGAGCACAAAGTCTGGTTTCTGCCAGTCTGCTCTTGTCAGGAGTGGTCTGCGTGAACTTAGCTGCACTCACAGCTTTCACTGAACCAGAGACAGAACTTTACAGAGTTACACAAAGCTGGAAAATGCAATCAGCGYGTTTCATCAGTCCGCAATAACACAAACGTGTGAAATTCAGACGGATGTTCTGCAAAGGTCACATTAAGAGCAAGAACAAGACATCTGAAAATYAAAACTAATCTTCAAAGAGACCAACTAAACACACCAAAACACGTCATGAACAATGTTCAGTGAACAAATAAATAACTTTTTAGCAAATATGTGCAAGAAAAAAAAATCTCCTCCCAACTCTGAGGCATGGTGGCAGGAGCATCATGGTTTTAATGTTTACCTCAAGAAACAGATGTTTAACTATCAAGTCGGAGTCAATAGTTCTTAAAATGCATTAATAATAATAATAATAATAATAATAATAATAATAATAATAATGTACTAACATATGCATCAGTTAATCTTGGTAAAATCAGGCAACAGGATGGTGAGTCACAGCACTACCGTTGTGGCAACAGAGGTTTTGAAAAGAAGAAAATTCCTGTTTCGTATTTGCCAAAAGTTTAATCTTAACCTCAGCTGGGTTGTTGTGGACAGGAAAGAATTATTTTGTCAGAAAAAATAATTTCTTTGTGTGTGTATATACGTATATTTGTATATAAAGACCCATCAAAAGTGGCCTGTTGGAGTTATTGAGTTTTGGTTAAAATGTTTTCAACAAGTGAATTTTGTCAAAATACAGTATAATTAATAAATACCTTATTTACAGGCTTTTTTAAATGAAATAGCTGAAATATAATCTTAAAGAATTATCTTGAAGCCCGTTTTTTGAGTTGTGGATACAAAAACATGATTTTGATCAACAAAAAAAGCCTTATATTTTTGTTGTTTTTCCCGCGAACTAGCAAAGCTTTTTTTATTTTACTACTACGTTATTTATAAAGTACTCTAAAACAACCACAGCTGCAACAAAGTATTGTACATATAAAATCAAAACACAAAAAACACAAAACAAAGATTGAAAACAATAAAAAACAGTAAAATAAGAATAAAGCTATAAACAAGTCTCAGGCTGTGCCAAAAGCCCAGGGAGTAGAAATGTTTTTTAGACAAGTTTTAAAATTATTATTTTAAAATTATGTTATTTTGTTCAACTTTATCTCAGTCCTCACTTTGATGTGATGGATCCCATATTAATGAACATAACTTAACTAATGAAAAACTTTCCCTGCAGAGTTCGAAACTCAGTCAGGGGTCAGAGGCAGATGCTAATAAAGAAGGTTTTTGCTAAAGAGGATTTAACCAGTTACTTTGTCAACAAATAAACATATCAGTATTTTTGTTTTGTTTTTTCCAAAGGGTGTGCTTGGATGGCAAAGCAGTGGGCTCCCTGCCAGAGTGTGATGATAAGGAGGGGCAACCATCATGTGAGCTAACAGTAAATCTGGAGTTATATTTAGCTCATGTGTCCTGTGACAGTCTGCGAACACCTTGTTTGCCTCCATCGCTGCAGATTAGTGAGCCCAAACTGTAGCCTGCACATCAGAGTGACACAACATAGCTAAAGCTGAGCTAAAGATGCCACATTATGTCCTTGTTTTTTATTCTTAAAAAGACGTTTAATGACACAATGCTTTTAATATCTAAAAGCTTACCGACTAAATCATTATTTTTAACTAGCAGAGCTGACTGATTACAGACAAACAGGATAGCCAAATGTTTTATAAGCAGCTGTTTCACATGTTTTGAATAAAGAGAGGCTTATTTGACCCTCCTGCTGCCCTTGGGTTAAAATGAAATAAAAATAAAACAGATAAAATGTTAAAAAGTGATAACACACACAAACATGAGCAAAAAGCTACCATCACTTTTACCAGAGGGCAACAACAATGCCTGCATCATGATAATGTGGCTCTGCTGTAGTGCCACAAACTGAGTTCAGAAAACTCACAGCTGGTGCGTCATGGCATTTTCTTAGCACTTTCTCTTCCTCTTTTTAGAAATGTTCACGTGTTTATATCTGCTAGTTTTACTGACTCTTCTTCATCAGAGCTGCTGCTGTTTGCTGGTCTCACTGAAGGTTTAAAGCCTGCTGATGAAGCTGTTCAAGGAAATGTTTTAGCACCACTGGATGCTGTGCGTGCACAATGTGCTTTAGCCAAATTCACTCACTGATATAAAAAAATTATTGAAATGTTCTTGGTTTAGTTCTCTGTTCAGGGTGTGTTTCATGGTCATGGTGCGTGAAAAATCAGAGTTTGTTTTCATTCCAACTCGGTGAACAGCCAGCCTGTGCCATAAAAACGGGAGTTTTAGTGTTACACAATCAGTAGGGAAAAGCAAACCAGATTAATCCAACCAAACTGATGCTTCATCAGCAGACGTTTTTCCTCTCATCTTGTTTCGTGGAAATGACTCATTCTGTTTTGTTTTGTTGTTTCTTCATCTTCAGATTGAAACAGGAATTTAAACAAATCATTTCTAAACTGTTAAACAAGTTTCATCTGCATCAGCCTATTGGGAGCCAAGTGTAAAATCAAATGTTTAAACACGTGTTCATTATTTAACTCACTTTCTGAGTGTAAAATCCCAGATAAAAATTTTCCACTAACATTATTTATTTCTTACACTGTTCTTACATTTTGTTAATTTTTTACTAAATGTTAAATTTAAATGTTAAAATGTATATGTAAATACTAAATCTAAAACCGTAAATCTAAATGTAAAGTTTAAATGTTGAAGTCTACATTTAAGTATTTCGGAATGGAACGGCACCTTTGCTGTTACTGCTATGTTCTTGTTATGACATCATCATTCTGAGACAAAAGCAATATGGTACATAACGTAACTAAAGCTGCTAATGCTGCTAATGCTTCTCTACAAGATGGCAAACTTGTAGTTGTGGCCTGTGTCTGAGCTGCACTTCAAAACTGCCGGACCACAGGTACCACCCTTACTGTTTTCAGTTAACAGATTTTGAATTTAGATTTTAAATACCATGATATTTTAAAATCTAAATTCGAAATGTGTTGGATGCAGCCTTTGTTGTTGGTGCTCAACTCTCGTTGTGACATCATCATCCTGAGACAAAAACAACTGCGAACACTTGAATGTAGCTAACGCTTCCCTACAAAACGTGAAATGTGTCTGAGCTGCACTTCAAACTATTGGAACACATTTTAAATAAAAATTTTAAGTACCATCTTTAGCTGTGTTAGAAGCGTTAGCAGCAACTAGCAACAATTAGTGTTGACTTCTGTCACAGGATGATGATATCATTCTGGTTAGCTAACGCTAGCTGCTGCTAACCCGCTGCAAACGCTTCTAACACAGCTAAAGATTGTATTTAAAATTTAAATTCAAAATCTGTTCCAATAGTTTGAAGTGCAGCTCAGACACCGGCCGCAACTGCAAGTTTGATATTTTGTAGGGAAGCGTTAGCTACATTCAAGTGTTAGCGGTTTGCTTTTATCTCAGGATGATGATGTCACAACGAGAGTCGAGCACCAACAACAAAGGCTGCATTCCATTCTGAAATACTTAAACGTAAACTTCAACATTTAATTTTTACATTTACATTATTTTATTTATTACATATATCCTTTAACATTTAAATTTAAAATGTAAACATAAAAAATTAGCAAAATATAAGAACAATGAGCTAAACAAAAATATTTGTGAAAAATTGTTAACTCACAGAAGGTGAGCTAAATAATGAAAATGAATTCATGACATTTTTTAACATTATATTTTACACTTGGCGTTCCATATCTGCCTGCGTGACTCAGTGTCTTCTACCCTGCTTCAGGTCATCACTGTGTCGGGACCTTTGCATGAATTTAGGTCACCTGATCACAGATTAGAGCTTAACATAAGACCCTTTACTCAGCGGGTTTAATCTGCCTGTCAGATGACGAGGCTGGCTGACACGAACGTAGAGCAGCACGCACAGCGAGTCACAGTAAAGAAAGTTTGCGGCTGCTGTTTAGTTTACTGATGACACTGTTACTCCTGGAGACCAGGGAGTGAGAGTGTAATCAGTGTGTCATAAAGGGAAAACCAGTTCTGTGAGTTTAGACACATTAACTGTTAAAGTTTATTGTTTCCTATCATTAAATGCATTACAGTGGCATACAGTAAATGGACACTAATACTATTTAGTTATTAAAAGGTCTATAAAGGTTGCTGTAACTAGTTATAGTTGGTTTTGACTCAAACGCACACATATAATCTTTTTTTAAAAAGCCACATTTGTTAAAGTATTTTCCTTTTTGTCACTTTGAGTGAATGCATTTTGTCGTCTGATTTTTTTCTTGGTTTGAAGTAAGATTGACTTATGATGAGTTCACACATAAATGACATTTTGTGCGATCAGGTCAAGTCTCTCATCTTCTCATTTCTGCTTGTTTCTGTCTTTCAGGGACTTGAAACTGGACAATGTTCTTCTGGATAAAGACGGTCACTGTAAGCTGGCGGATTTCGGAATGTGCAAGGAGGGGATGTTTGACGGTGTGGCGACAGGAACGTTCTGTGGGACCCCGGATTATATCGCCCCGGAGGTTAGTTTGAACAACTGCACTGAGCAGCGCTACAGTGAAATTAAAGTCTTCATACGCTTAATTTCATACAGAAATAAACCAATTTTGACAGCAGTGTTGAACAGGAGTGATTCTGCAAACTCAGAGCAGTTTTTTTATTTATTTATTTTTATTCTTGTCAGCAAAAGCATACAAGCTCATCCAAGCCTGCTGGAAAATATCAGTGCGTCAATGTTTTTTTAAGGTCGTTTTTCTCGTATGTTTCAGGCTGTTGCCTCACTGAAATGTGAGCCAGGAAATGTGTTTTCACTCAGAATTGCTTTTTATTTTCTGCTTTTGTGGTTAATTTTTTGTGTCCTCATCAGTTTCATGGACGGTTAGGACACAAAAGATGCAGGAAAACTTTCCCACAGAAATAAACTTTCACCGGTGCTTTTAACTGTGGGGCGATGGTCTGGTCATTCCAGAGAATTTAAATCATCACTGAAGGATTCTGGGTAACGTTTAGAAAAAATACTGCTGATTTTTTTTATTGCGCTTTTCCTGTCAGTTTGGGCTCCCAGTGTTCTCCTGAGTAGCTTTTACATCTTAGTTCCTTTTTTAGCTGGTCAACTTTCTTTTCTTTTCTTTTTTTTTCTTCCTCCACATATTTAACATGACATCGGTGGTTTTCACAGGGTCAGGACTTTACTGTGGGTTGAGAAGGAACAAATGAAGGATTTATCAATTTCCAGAACTCAAACACAATTTAAAAATAAAACCAGCCATATCTCCCATCATTTGAAAAAAAATAAAATAAAAGGTTTGATGCAATCTGTTGGGGGTGTGTTGAAAATGAGACCAAGTTATGGGTTAATTTCCAACTGGGTGTTTTAGATGACTTAAAGCAGTCTAATTTTCCAGTCTTGCATTTCTATTTTCAGCATAAACCGTTTGAAGCCGAGAACAAATTCCACCAAGTTTAGCCTGCAGGAGACCAGGATGTCTGAGCTGCTACGAGGCCATGAACAGTTTCTTCATCAGGCCTCCTCCGTTAAAACAAACACTGTGGTCGGTGCACTTCACTTAAAATTCCTTCCTGACTGACTGGAAGGCAGGGCGTGCGTTAGGTCAGCTTGTAAACTTCACTGGCCTGATTCACGCCTCAGAATGAATATTTAGATGCCTGCTTGCTTTTCCTAATGAGGAATAATGTCCTCACGCCTGCTGCAAACATCACTGAAGGTCAGGGTTTATGAAAGGCTTCTTTAGCAGCCTCTGACTCAGCGTTTCCTCCGTAGGAAAAACCCACTGGCCAAATCACATGTATTAGGTTTAAGTAGGCTGTTGACTCCTTATGAACTGTATACTGTACTCACATTGTTTTTCACAGATCCTACAGGAGATGCTGTACGGCCCCTCCGTCGACTGGTGGGCGCTCGGGGTGCTGCTGTACGAGATGCTGTCAGGACACGCCCCCTTCGAGGCCGAAAACGAAGACGACCTCTTCGAATCCATCCTGAACGAAGAGATTGTTTATGCGTCGTGGCTCAGCGCAGACGCCGTGGATATACTCAAAGCTGTAAGTGTTTGTTTTTGTGACAAGACTGGACGAAGGCCAGGACTCTGCTGTTGGTTTTGTCTTTCAGTCTGCGATGTTGTTGTACAATCATAGGAAGTGATCTCTTTGAAATGTAGCCAGTGATACAGGAGATTAAATTTCATGCTTACGTAAGTTTTAAACTAAAATCACATTATGTTGAGATTCGGTCGTCATTTCTGGTCAAACCCTAAAAATGACGTTATGGATGATATCTTGCGAGACGTAACACTCTGTGTGAATTCAGCATTTTTTTTGCATGGATGTTAGTAAACTCTGGCAGCCATTTTCAATTAGGTTACATCAAAAAGTTGCAGATGTGCATCCAGCTGTTACTTTACGAGTTTCACTAACCGTTGTATTTTTTTTATGTTTTGCTCGTTCGTGTACAGAACCCCAGCGCTCATTTTCTCTGACACTGAAGCTTTTTGAATCCAGGAAATGCCCGATGTCAGTGTGAACTCCTGAGTGTGCACCATCAGCGGCTGCAGTCGATAGTTTTTCCGAGCTTGCACGAGTTGATGTAACAGTAACGTTGGTGGATAGCAGAGTACTTATCTTGCTACTTAGCAACATGTAAGAGCAAACGAACCTTATCCCCGGTCCAAACAAACATTCGTGTTTGAGACGCAGTCGTCTGTTAACGTGTCATTGAAATTCAAACGTTATAACGCCAACTAGTGTCCTGGCACAGAAAGTGCAGCAGATTCAATGAGCAGCAGCGTTCATCTATATCTTTTCTACAGTCAACATTGGAAAAACTTTTCCAGAGATCCTTCACTTGTAAACAGGGTCTGAAATCTGCGTAGGATTCTGGAGATATTCTGTAAATATGCATACAAACACATACTATCGAGCCAAGTATCCATGCCAAGATGAGCATCGATATCGATACTAGCGCGATGAGATTGATTCTTTTGTTTACACACAATTTTGTTGAAAAATAAAGTAATGCAGAGTCTCCAAGTCGTTTAGAGTTAATCATTAGCAGAAACCCTTCCTGTTCCTCATGCCCATGAGCAATGGATGGCATTTTTTGTTATTCACACTATGTTTATATTTTTGTTACATTGTTGCTCTTCTTATTTTGCATTAGAGACTTTTTTCTTAAACAATTGTGTAGTAAAGGTACATTGTTTTATATCATTGTACCAGTAGTTAGTTAATACATAATACTTGCTTTAAATTATTGTCCTGTGTTTTATCATGATCGACTAACTAACAGCAAAATCCCTAAATTATTCAATGTACATGATGTTTAAAGTAAAAATTATCTGCATCGGTGATACTAGTCCTGTATTTACTTGGTATTGGATCGATACCAAAATTCCTAATATACCCACCCCTAAAACACACAAATACAGGCAAAAACTTAATCATCCATCTTCACCTTTTGCTGACAGGCAGTAATTGGTTTGTCAATTAAATTTTGACTTTGTGAATAAAAACTGATGGATCTGAGAAGGTTGAGTCAGATCTTCTGGACAGATTCATCTTTGTTGAAATAGTTTGTCTTTCATCCAAAATACTTCATCAGTCTCAGTCTGCACAGTGATGAATGGTAACTTCAGAGAATCTGCCAGCTGTTTGGCCCCAGGTTTGTTACAAAACTATATTAAGGCATGGTTGACTGGGCAGCCACAGCTCACAGCTATAAATATGGTGACTCCTCCCCCTCCTGAGCACACTGTTGGATTTGTATCCTTGTTGTTGTAACACACTCGAGGAAGCGTCACGCCAAACTCCCATGCTGATCTGTCCTCGGTGTCCCGCCGGGTCGTGGTGTGAATGGATTTGGAAGCTGCGATTCTATTTTTATTGAGAGCTCATCCGCTGCTAAATCCTTGTTCTTGTTTCTCTGAGCTCACTTGTGATGTTGCTCAGAATCTGTGAAACATCACCAGCATTAAGTTTATGGAAATAAGTTTATTAATTACATATATTTTATTGGCTTATATGAAGCTGTTCTCTTAACAGAAACCACATGAGTCTATTAAAGAGAATAATTAGTCATTTAAAAGATTTTAAATTTTTTGTCAATTATTTTTTATTATTTATCGACCAGATGTTTCAGCACTAACTCCTCATTCTGTCTTTCCTGCGGCGGTTGAGCAGAAAGGCTTTTATTTACTGCAGTCATGCTGACAGGGCAGCTCTGTCTGAGCGTGGCCCAGCTGACACGCAGACATGGAAAGATGGCATCAGCTGGAGTGGAATACTGTTTGAGGTCTTACTAACCCTTACTAATCCATCTACCTCAAAACTAACTTAATTTAGAGCTTTTTGTGGGTCTACTCGGGTTTTTCTTTTCGTTTTTAAACATCGAATCTTAAAAATCAAGCTCACAGCACCAAGTTTCAATTAAAAAGGCATTTTTGTCGCTTCCTGTTGTATAGAATAAAAGTGACCATTTAGACTTTTGGTTGCGTTTCTGACCAGATCTGTCAGGAAAAACTGTAAGATGTTTCTCTTGTAGCCAGACCACGATCTGAACATCTGACACTCGTATTTCATCACTCTGTGACGGATCTGTAGGACATCCATCAATCACTGTCTCTGTGATCCTGGATTACTGAAGCTTCCTTTCACCTGCAGCTGCACAGATTTATGTTTGTGTCTTCGAGTAATGGATCTGCAGTCTGTCTGATCTGTTAGGACAGGTTTTGTTGCAGTCTGACCTCACTGGGTCAGTTCTGATGCCAGTAGTGATGTGYTGTTATGCATCTGATCAGGTTTTGTTTATTTRTGGCTTTCTGACTAGGGATGTCCCRAWACCACTTTTTCACTTCCGATACGATACCGATATTAAAACTTTGAGAAYTGTCCAATACCGATATTGACCGATACCGAAATTGACCCGTTACCATAACAGTACAAGTCACACACTTTTACCTATTTTGAAGTGTAAAATCTTAGAAAAGTCTTGATCAAGTCAAACAGTGAAAAAGAGTAGGTATGAGAAAAACTGACCCATTTATTTTTAACCAATGGATCACATACATTTAAAACTGAAGAACATTCTACAATTTAATAAAATAAATTATAATACCCTGAAAAATAAAACATAATAAAACAAAATGTTCTTTTAAAGTATAAAATAACAATTCAAAATCACTTCGGTTATTGTTTTACTACCTGTCAGCCTGGTGCTGCTTTATGGTGGAAAAAACTGAAGTTGGGAACAAAACAAAACCCCACATTATTGTCTGTTCAAAGTTAAGAGTCCACAGCTCTAATTCTACTGACTGTAACCAAAACAACGTGATCATTGCACTTAATCTTCACTCAAACAAGTGTGTAAACAGATTAAACATCACTCTAATAACAAGAGCAAAAATAAATAGTAAGAATTAGTCAGTTATTTAAATTGATAGCTACCTTTCTTACTGCTGTATTTTCTGAGCATCATGTGGAGATTAGCCTCTCGCTCCTGCAGGGAGCAGTTTTTATCACTGCTCTCGTCATGTCACGCTTATATTCCAAAACAAAAGCTGCGCTCTCCTTTCTTCTGTCCATCGACCCAGAGCTAATCCATGGGATGTCAAAACTGTAAGCGTGCTGTCCTCGCTTCTGCCAGCTTAGAACCACCGACCGGACCAGAGAGGAGGTTCCGAAACAGCGCGGCTGTGTGCGGTCACTGGACCGAGGCTGAACGAACCGAGCCGAAACGCAAAGCTGCTGCCAGGGTGGAGAGTAGTTGTCGCTCCGGTTTAAAACGTTCACGGTTCTGTGCTCCCCCTCGGAAAACTTGTGCGTGACAACTTTGCACTTAGCTGCAACTCTGTTTCTGATGAAAATAGAAAGTTCTGCCGACATTCTTGCTAACTTGTTAGCGCAGCATGTTGTTGTGATCACGTGAGCGCTGCATGCTGGATCCAAACGCTGCTGGATAGAAACACTGGAGTGGAGTCAGTGGACTGCTGTATTGAACTGCTTATATCAGACATTTTTTATGCAGGTCGATAAAATCCAATACTCATTTTTTGGCTGATATCGGACCGTTATCCGATATCAATATCGGATCGGGACACCCCTACTTCTGACTGTTGACTAACTGTGCATTAATTTAAAATAAATTCATTTGACAGTCATTTCCACTAATCTGACTCACTCACGTGAGGTTTTTGTTATTTCCACACAAAAGTCTTGTGTCTAGCTAAACCAGTCATATGATTTGCTGAGTTACTCTTTAATTGACATTTATCAGAAGCGATCAGATCAAGAAGTTCTTTCAAGTGTATCCACTTGATTAGTTTTAGCTGAAACTGATGACTGGAGTCAGATTTAAAACCCAGCTGTAGCTGCCAGTAGAGGAAGATTGGTGATTTTGTGTGTGTGTTTTAGCTACAAAATATAATCTGATTATCTTGTGTTGTTATCTCCTTAATGTTGCAACAATCTAGCTACTTCTGCTATTTACTAATGTAAAAAAACATTTAGCCAGTCTTTTGCTACTTGTACCTTCTAGGTAGCTTTTTGATAGTTTTAGTTTTTCACTGTCTTTTTGCTGCTTAGCTTTGAATTAGCTAGTGTTGTGCACGTTTCATAGCTAGTTTATCTTAGTTGATATTTTATGTTCCTTTTAGTTTATATCCAGTGTTCTGCTTCTTTTAGCTTAAACAACTCAGTTCCAGTTTCTCATTTGTAACTCAGCATTCACAGTTTTTAACCATAAAAAACTAAAATCTAGTTCCTGATTAATCTTGTCCTTTGTAGCCACTTTAACACTTAATAAACACTCTACTGACTCTGATAAATGTTCACAATTATCTATAATTATATTCCTGGTTGACATCTTCAGTCATTCAGACTGAGCTGCTTTGGGGCTTTGCTGAGAAACTTGCTATGTTGGTGTTTAATAGTGTTTGCATCTCGTCTGACAAACAACTATCAGTCTCTCTGCGGTTTCTGAACCAATGAAAATGATTTAACACAGTTGTTTATACATTTAGCAGCTCATTTTATTCCACAGCTGACCTG